AATCTACCAGCCTCTCCTTGGAAACCCTATACAGGGTCGCTATGGGTCAGAACCAACTCAAGGGCACTGAACAACAGCAAGAAGAATGTCTATAGATTCTGGCACATAAGTACTAATAAACTTTAGGAGCCTTCCAATAAGATGAGGGATTTTGTGTCATTCGCTTTTATATCTATCTCAAGTACTTCAACTATCAACACACATGGTAGGTACTCAGTATATGATATAACAACAACACTATTTGTGCAAGAATAATTTGATGAAAATCCAACAGTCATTCCTCCTTTTACGAGTTGAAGACATCACCATCCTTCTGATTACTTAAGTCCCTCTTTAAAGCACTCACACAAGTTTCAAACTTGGAATTGCCTTTAACCCTGACTCTGAAGTACTTGGCAGGACCACCCCCTAGCCCCCGCCCAGTCCTCCCCAACTCTGTGTGTCAAGTGCTGTCGAGTCAGTTCCGACCCATAGCGGCCCTGTATAGGGTTTCCGAGGAGCCGCTGGTGAGCTTGAACCGCCAACTTTGCAGTTCAAATGGCTTTGCAGTCTGGTGCATTAACCCACAGTGCCACACCTGGACTCCTCAACTAGGTAGTGATTATTGTTGTTGTTAATTGCTGTTGAGTCGGTTGCAACCCTGTATAGGGTTTCCGAGGAGTAGCTGGTGAGCTTGAACTGCCAACAAGGTAGTGATTATACCCTTTCATTTTTACCTCAGTCAAATTCCCAATCTCTGTCATCCTGGGTTTTTTTATAGTTCACTACGTCTGTTGTCATGTTTGGCCATCAGGTCGATTCCAACTCTTAATGTTTGTTAAGTGCAGTCCAGTAGGTTCCGACTCATAGAGAAACTATATAGCATTACTGAGGAGTGGCTGGTAAATATGAACCTCTGACCTTGTCATTCAAACCGACCTTGTGGTCCAGTGTGTTTCCTGCAGAACAGAAATCTTATTGTAGATTCTCTGAAAGGACAGACTACAAACTGATCTCCTGACTCCTGTCTCTTCTGTTCCACATCACCAAACCGCCATCTCTGCAACTCCCTACCACCTACATTCCCATTCTGAAAAGGTCATATCTGAGTATGTTATCAAACTGTTTAAAAAATCTCAGCCCATTTCTCACAGAATAAAGTCCAGTATCCCAATTTCTCCCTTTCGTATGTTCCATGAATGGTCCAAGTTAAATTTCTTTTAAATATAATACGCTACATCCTCAATTTGCACTCTATATGTACAGCTCATCAATATGTACTGTACATAGACATGCCTTTGGAGTCTATGTTTCCACATAGAAAATAACATATGTATTTCTTCTCACTGAAAATTCTGGGCTTAGGTAGCCTTTCCTCAACAAAACCTTCCTGATATCCCCCATGAAAATTGCCATTATCTGTCTGTTCCTTGATAGAAATTTTTTGATGCTCAATGATCAGATTCTGCCATGCTGTGTGAATGTTTTCAATACAAGGTTGTATCTTTGGATATCTCCCAACACCATTTAGCACAAAGCCTTTCTCATAGTTGTGGTTGTCAGGTGCCGTTGAGTCAGATCCAACTCATAGTGACCTTATTTAGGGTTTCCAAGGAGCAGCTGGTGGCTTGAACCACCAACCTTGTGGTTCAAACTGACCTTGTCTCATGCATTAACCCACAGCACCACGAATCACCCAAATGCTAACTGAGTTCACATCATAGGGTTAGAGATCTGGAAAATTATAAAAGTATCTTAGAAGTCTTCATGTGTAGTGCTTTCAATTAAATAGCAAATTAAAGTTGATGCACTTTATTAACCCAAAACCAATAAAATAAAACATATTTTTGGTTTTCTCAACTAGTAATAAAACTTTGAAATTTTATGTTAATGTAGCAAGGTATTTTACCTTTACCTTTACAAAAACTCCAAAAAGGTATTCAAGAAATTTTTTTTTTTAAAGTAAACTCACAGTTCAGTTAATAAAAGGCAGATGACAAGTCATATTTACAAAAAGGCTCAGAGAATCAGATATTTGGGTTTAAAAGTGCAAGTGTTGGCTCTGCCTTTACCAGCCACTTTGTTTTTTCTCACCATTGAATTTTCAGTGTTGCTGATTGCCATTTCTGTTATTCACGGCCCAGCCTTCTGTCTCCTTTCTTCTTTATAAACTCCCAAACGCTTTTGTTGCATCTTAGAAAGTTTTGTTGCTAAGTGTCATTGAGTTGCTTTCGACTCATAGAATCCCTGTATAGCGTTTCTGAGGAGCTACATGGGTTTGAACCGCGCAACTTGTGGTTAACAGTCCAGAGATTATCCTGCAGTGTCACACCAGGACTCCTCTCAGAGAATGTTGTTGTTGTTGTTAAGTGCCGTGGAGTCACAGGGTTTCTGAGGCTGCAAATCTTTACACGAGCAGGAAGCCTCATCTTTCTCCCGCGGAACATTTGGTAGTTTCGAACTGCCAACCTTGAGGTTAGCAGCCCGATTCGTAACCACTACCAGAGCTCCTTTCTCAGAGAATAGTATGACAAAGTAAGAGAGAGCATTATTTTGAGGGTGAGGGGAGGATATGTGTATGTGTGTATATATACACCTATAGAGATATAGATTATAGATTTACAAAAATAGGGGTCTGGATTAATTGGAAAAACTAGAAATTCTAAAAAAGAAATTACTACTTTGAAAGAATGTTTTTGCCATTTGTGGTCAGATTAGCACAGGGATCCTCTCCATAACTGAACAATTTTGAAAAAGAGGCTAAGTATAGTTCCCTAAAGGAGCTCTGGTAGCGTAGTGGTTACAAATCGGGCTGCGAACCTTAAGGTCAGCCATGATGAGGCTTTCTGCTCACGTAAAGATTTACAGCTAGAAAACCCTGTGCAGGGTCACTATGAGTCGGAACTGACTCCACAGCACATAACCACCACCACCACCATAGTTGCCTAACTTGAAAAATGTAATCAGTGTTGCTGAATTGTTCATGTCGAAATCGGTGAATTGGTGTATGTTCTGCTGTGTAGAGTTTTAACAACAGCAGTAAAATAAATTATTTTAAAAAACAGAAGTTGTACTGCATTCATGTCAACATATGAAAGAAAGCCTAGATTAAAAAATTTCGATAAGAATAAAAATTAGTTATTGTCTTTAGCTATTTAGGTAGAGCTTTCCCAGTTACCATGTTTAATGATTTGGTGTGTTTTGAAATTTTCATTTAACTTAAATTCAACTTGAATGTTAGATGTGTTTTTAAGACAGAAAACAGGATGCTTTTGTTTACAGCCTTGGGTTTTACACTGAGGAAAGAAACAAGAAAAACAAACAAACAAACAAAAAAACCCAACATTTCAAATCCCACTTGACTAGCAAGACTATAAAGCCTTATGAACAGAAATGACAAATGTACGATTTGTATAATCCAATTACTCACAATTAGGTTGTTTTTGTCATAACAATCTGTGGCAAAATGTAACAGAAAAGTAGTGGGTTTTTTTAAAGGTATGATTTAAAAGGCAAAATTCAGAATTTGGAAAGCTGGAAAACACTCCGAGGTTTTAGCAGTGCTTTTTGACAACATCTACAAAAGGAGCTCTGGTAGTGTAGTGGTTACGAGTCGGGCTGTGAACAGCAACGTCAGCAGTTCGAAACTACTAGCGGGTTCCACGGAGGAAAGAGGAGGCTTTCTGCTCCAGTAAAGATTGAAAGCCTCGGAAACACTGTGCAGGCTCTCTATGAGTTGGAACCGACCCCGCAAACTACAAAAACGGACCTTTATGGTGCCTTAATATAAAGAAGTTTATAGCATGGTGGTGGTGGTGGTGGTGTGCCGTGAAGTTGGTTCTGACTCATAGGAGCCATTTTTTTTAAAGTTTTTAATCAGGTGGGGGCCCTTGCAAAAATTGCTCATTAATCAATCTATTCTCCTCTTTTTACAACCATTATGTTACATAAACATAGGCAGTTGGTATAGAATTTAATGAAAGACATAACCCCAACTCCTTAATCTTAAATCTTTAATGACTACTCAAAAGCTCAGCTCTAACTATTGAGGACCAATGTTCAATGTTCCAAATAATTTGATTCAATTTAAAAGCTCTGTGAGGGTTCAAAACACTTGGAGGTTTCTCTCTGAGAGTTGACTAGAGTTGGGGACTTCATGTACTGTTTAGATTAGGAGGCCTCCAAACATAGAGACGGAATCACAAACCTGTCATTTACTGCCTCTACAGCCACTGCCCTTGGATGGGGTACAAAATCCACACAAGGGTAACCAGGGGAAATGGCAGTAATCCAAAAGATGGCTCTAGAGAGGAAGTGAAACATAGTCCCACAAATCTGTAGGATAATATACTTTCTTTTACCCAGCCCAAGCAACTATTTACCCCATCAATGAACTGCTTAAGATTTCCTGGGGGTAGAATGGGGGCAGAGTATCCCCGAGGCAGAGTTAAGAAGAGTCGTAGCTGAAAAGTACCCCATTTTTTCTATTAGACACTATGCCCACTGCCTCAAAGAGTGTCCTCACCTTCCCTCTCAGATCTCAACAACTGCCATTCCTGCTCACAGTACAGAGGGGAAGGATCCTCTTTAACAGACAATTGGGAAAAAATGGATTCCTTAATTACTTTCCTTACTTTATACAGTTTTTATTCCTAGTTCTACATTATGACTTTCAGTGAATGCCTTAGAGGGGTCACTCAATGTTCGTTTCTCAATCTCTTCCTTATCCTATTTATTACCCTAAACTGTGCCTGTTATTTAAAATTAACCTTTTCTTCCCTTCTCTTCCTAGGACCTTTCAACTTCTCTGGGTCTTCTCCTTCACGCCTTATCTCTCATTATCACTTCTTCTTTAGCCCTGGCCTTTTACGCTTGTCCAGAGATTGCCCCTTACCCCTTTTTTCTACTCAGTTCCCTCCTTCACCTCACCCATTCCTGTCTCAGGTTCTCCAGATTCCACAGCTGTTTGCTGGTGAGAAATCTTTGCTGCAGCGAGGACCGGAGTCCCCCGCGCGCAGCCCAGTGGTAGAGGAGGGCTAGGCTGGGAGGGAACGCGAGCAGAGGGAGGCAGTCCGTCCTCCCACCGAGCCTGCAAGGATGCGGCAGGGGGTCGGGGGCATGGGGAGGCACTAACCCCCCAGCCCCTTATCCAGGTTTGCGGACCCGGCCCGCGGGTCAATTTCCTGCCAAATACAGCTGAGGAGCAGAAGCGCCCAGAAAGCGAAGAGAGGGGCACTCGGGGTGCCCAACCTCGAAATCCGTCCCTCTGCGAATCCGGGAAGAGAGCAGGGACTCAGTGAGTGGTGAGAAGCAAAACCTACCTCCAGACTAGATCTGGAGGTTCAGAAAGACTGAGGCGCTCTGGTGAGCACCCAAGGGTGAAGTCTTTGGGGCTGTAAGCCAGGGGCGTACGGTGACAGGGTGCGCTCCGGAAGGAAGCGCGAGATGGGCAGCGGAGCGCAGAGCTGGTGTAGGCTGGTGGGGGGGAATGTCTGCGGGTGCGAGCCAGGGAGCGCGTGTGGCGGCCGCGGCGCCAGTGTTTGTGTGTATGTGAGGAAGCGAGGGGCGAGCGCGAGTGCGAGTGAGGCACAGAAAGAGCGCATGTCTCATCTCTGTGAGCAGCCACTAGACGTTCTACCACCATCTTTTGCATGTGTAACATTTGCTGCCGGACAGAAAACCTCTCCCAGGGCTATGGAGACTGCGGGAAAAATCTGGCAGCTCACGATGGGTTGTTAAAGACAACTAGTCATAATCATAAAACCATCCAAACCTTTCCTTTTTTTCTTCTTCATCTTTTTTTTTTTTTTTTTTTTTTTTTTTTTTTTTTTTAATTTTAGCGCCATCGTCTTCAATGCCTCTGTGAGCAGCCTTTTGGAAGAGTGTGAGAGAAAGAGAGTGCGCTCCAGGGAGAGGAGAAAAGAAGATGAGGATTATTTGCAGACAGATTGTCTTGTTATTTTCTGGCTTTTGGGGACTCGCCATGGGAGCCTTTCCGAGCAGCGTGCAAATAGGTAAGTTCTACTCCGGTGGGGTGTGCATGTGGCTGGCTGTAGATTTCTAAAAGTGAGTTAAATGAGTTGCTGATAAGCAATTCCAGGAAACCTTGGGCTTCTTGTCCTCTCTTCTTCCCTCTCCTTCCCTTTTTGAAAAGACTGCCTCTTTCCTGCAGGTTCAATAGAAATCTACACAGGTCTGCCTACCCATCCATCCTAGGGCCCTTAACCTCATTATCTTCTCTGGCTCAAGTCCCTTAAGTAGGATTAGAACAAGTTGGGGGTCCTGAGGGTGCGGATTCTCTGTGGGGTTTGATTCCACTTCATGAAATATAGATTTACATCCTTTTCTCTAGAGTATGAAGGTTGCCTAGTTTGTGGGTGGGTGGCTGGGTTGGTGTCACTTCTTCCCATGTTGGACGCTGCAGCTTTGTCGCTATTACAGAAAGACACTGGGCAAAAAAGCATTTCCACCCGCAGCCCCCGCCTCTTTTTGCCATCGATTAACTGATTCCAAAGTTAGAATCCCCTTTCTTGAAACCTCTCTTCTTTAATTTTGTCTTCTTCTTGAGGATTTTCCCTGCATCTCGACTCTATTTCTAGGGACCCTCTCCATCCTTGGCTTCTTTTGCTATTCTCCCCTCCTGTGTTTTAATGGGACGCAGCTATTGAATTTCTTCCAGCTAAATCCTGCTTCAACGCTGCATCATTTCTAGTGGACTGTGCACAAAACGGAGCTAATTAGGCTGAGTCCACGAGCAGCAGGAAAACAAAGTTAATTTCTCCTTTCTGATTTCCCTTTCCCTGTGTGTCACTACATCTCTGCATTTCTGTATTTTAATGCAAATCCTCTTTTTCTTTCATCTGCTTGCCTCTAAGAGAAATGCCCTTAGGAAGCTAATGTAGCAGGGAGCTTGGTGTCATAGGGAGGGCAAGAGAGAGAAAGGAAAACACACTAAATGGTCTCAGAGGTCATTGTGATCCTGACGAATTGGGACAGGAAAAAGCTGAGCTGTCCTAAAGACTAAAATACTAAGCATGCACCTTCGGGACAAAGGACAGTCTCCCAAGATGTGTCAGAACAGTTCCTTTTGCTTATGCTTGTGCTTGTGAACATCAGTAGACTTGACAGTGCTTGGGGAGGGTGTAATATTTAACAGAGGAAACATTGAATGTGCTTTTCCTGCTGTTTTTAATAGGTGGTCTCTTCATCCGAAACACAGATCAGGAATACACTGCTTTTCGATTAGCAATTTTTCTTCATAACACCAGTCCCAATGCGTCGGAAGCTCCTTTTAATTTGGTACCTCACGTGGACAACATTGAGACAGCCAACAGTTTTGCTGTAACAAATGCCTGTAAGTAAAACAGAACAAGTTATGGATAAATTAGAAGAGAATGATGATGAGACAATAGCGTTCACTTCGTTATTGTTGTTGTTGTTCTGTTAATTTTTAAAGAAAGAAATTCAAGACTTTCACAGATGCCTAATGCATGAGTAAATCAGAGTTAAAAGCAAGGTTTAGACTTGGGGGATAATCAGGTGGCTTTTCCTGTTTTTCTTATCTGGATAATACACATGAATCTCTGAATATTTCATTGGATCTCTATTACATAAATGTCAATTTAGTGAGCATTTTACACAGTCGAGTTTCTTCTTTTTAAAATTTATCCCTTTGGTTTTTGTTTTTCATTTGAGCAAATATATGCCTGGCTTTAAAGGAGTCACATGCTCTTTTGCACTGGTGAAGGCCATGGATGGTTTGCTAAAAGTAAGAGATGGAAGCAGTGATGTGTGGGGTATATATTTGAGTCGGTTGGTTAATGATCTGGTGATGTCATTGGAGGCTGTCCTGCTCTTATATTCTTGGTTGTAAATGTCTGTTACTATCACACTATGCATATATCCTGTAGCTATAACTCCATGAATCCTTACCTTGGTGGCAAATCACATTAGTCTCTGATCCACCTGAATTCACAAACCAACATGATGGAACTATTATTCTACTCAGTGGAATTAAATGTGTGACCTCACCTAACGCTGTCATGAAACAGTTGCTTAGTACTCCCCTCCAAAACATTTTGTAACTTAATATTAAAAAACAACAACATTAATTTAAAACAATCTAAAATATGATGAGTCCATATAATATTAGTGTTACATTTTTACTCTTAAAGGAAGTATCAATTATCTCCTCAGTTTTACATGCTAATTTATCACTGTTCAAAATTATATGTTAAGATAGTGATTACTGGTTATGTAAGACATATAGGAGTTGTTTCTCTATAAATTTTGCATGTTTTCATAGCAGTAATATAATGTTCAATTACAGAGCATTTGTATCATGATATCAACTATGATATCAAACTTGATATTGTTTAATTTAAACCTTTTTCTCAAAGAAAATGTACTAAACAAAGAAATAATAGAATCTAAAAATGGAAAGTTTTAAGTATTTGAAGGATGTCTGTTTAATTAACTTAATTATTTTAATCAATGTTTTACTCAGAACAGCAGTATGAGTTAGAATAGATGAAAGGCACTGTTTTATTTTGTTTTGTTTTCATCAATATTTATTTGCCATTAGTTCATCTAACTAATGACATAACTTCCTTAATTTTTGGTTTCTTTTTAACTAGGACTTTATTCTAGAACTTAGATTAATAAGGAGTTTGAATGAAGCATTTGACATTTTTGTAAATTGACATAACAGTGTCATTTTGCAGAAATACGATAACTTTCTGAGTACTACTAATCAATTACACTATTTGTTATCGTCAGGTATATAGGATACATATACAGCAATGCAAATACGGCAAAGTAAGAGGGAGTTATTTTTCAAGCAGAAATACATATAAATTAGAGCTAGGCCTGTGAGTGGTCATTTTTACAGATTCATAATTATATTTTGGGTGCTAAGCTCTAAAAAGGATGTGGTGGCAATATATCATACAGTTATAGGTATGAGGAATTATCTCTAATACATGATTTTTGTTTAAGTGTTTTTCTTATGCATCTTCTAGCATTCTATCAACACAGTGCCAGCTGTAAAAATAACCCATGATCCAAATATATGGGAAAGAACTTTGCCAATATCAAATGACTTTTTAAATATTACTATATGCAGTAATTTTGAGAGATTTTCTCAAATGTGACAGAAATCTAAGTGGATTTTTGTTTTTGTTTTGTTTTAAAATTTTACGTTCTTAAGTACTCTAAACTTTGTATGTTGACTACCAGATACACACATTATAAAATGGTAGTACTTTCATCTTCCACATCATTTTTCAACCCAATTTGGGATAATTTTAACTAGTATTATTTTCTTTAAGTGATGAAAATATTATATAAAATAGACTTTTACTTTTAAAGCACCTGTAAATATAAGAAGCTGCATACAGAATTCAAGTCGAAAAAAATGAAGTGTACAACGTCTAAGTGTGCTATGCTTTCACATATTAGGATTGAGAAAATTGAAACAACGTAAGGTTTACATCTTTTCTTTAATTCAAGCATAACAGTGTTAGTAACCAAATTTTTTCATAATTATGAATAATTGATTTTATGTAGGTGTTTATAGATTTTTTTAAATGTGAATTATAAATTAAGGGGGAAAATAAGAAAGCATTTTCCAATGAAGAAAAGAGCTTTAGAGACCTTTCTGAGTGTGAAAAATGAGTGTGCTGAATGTCCTTAACGCGAATCTAAGCAAGATTTTGGAAAAATCCATTTTCAGAGTGTGACTCAGGTGATTGGTGTTTGTTGAATGGACTGATGAAGAACATATGCACATGTGATTTTCTAGTCTAATTAAAGGTGGAATGTAACCAGTGAGTATAAGGCAACCTCTATGACTTTATGTACAAAAGAATAAGGATAGATCTTGAAATTTAGTATTCTGGGAGATGAACATGGAATTCATTTCTCATAATGACACAGAATGGATTTTTTTAATTGTTCGTGTTGGATTAAATTTAAAGATATAAAATGTGGCTGGTCAGGTTTATTTAGTTTTGATTTCCCTACAGTGGTTACTTGTAAGACTGCAGAACCTAGTCTATCTGTGTATAAGGGTCATGAAACAAGATATGTTTAATGATATTATAGACCGTTTACTCAAAGACAAGAATGGCAGATTATAAAACAAAGAGTTTTGGCATGCTGTGGACAGACATGATTTAATTCTGTTTTTTCTGCCTCAGAATTAATTTGATAGTCTAAGACTACTTCAGAGATCTAAGATATTCTATGTATAAAGTTGCCATACTATTTAAGTCTGAACCTGGTTAATTTAAACTTAATTTGATAATTTACCACTTTGGGCCTAAATCCAAAGTTCATAAGAGAGAAGTATATTTCATACAGCTTTATTTTTCTTTTAGTGATTCTTGTGTTTAAACTTAAATGAAAATAAATATATTCCTTTTGAAAAATTTTCACATTTTTAGAAAAAAACCCACTGAAATGATAATAAATGCTGATGATATAAAACTGATCTGTGCCAATAGCAACAATAACAAAAATAGATGTAATCAGTAGCCTGTTGATTCAGATTTCAAATTTTATTAAAAGTAAACATTTCTTTTTTGTGTTCTATTCAAAGTATAAACAATAACAATAGCATATTTTAAAAATATACTCAATATGGACAATTCTATTTTATTCGACATCATATAACTATTTTAGGTACCAAAATAGCTATCTTTGCACACAAATATGTTCATTAAATTGGATATATCCTTGCAAAATATTTAGAACAACTTAAAGAAAGACTGTCTTCTTATATTCTTGAAATAGTTAATGAGTAGAAATATTTTTGTATAGAGGATTATTTTTGCTAAATTTGGCCAGGAGTGACAGCCAAAATACTAAACTAGTCTGTCACTGAGTTTTCTGAAAGACAGAAATTATTTGAAACTTTACTATTATTATTTTAATCCAACTATTTAAAAAATTCTACAAAAGATTTTGGCCTTTATCAAGTCAGTTTCTATACAATACGAGGCTTCAAAAACTTTGTGGAAAATTTCCACTATCTTTTCACTTCGTTTCCCATGAACTATTTTAAGCCACCTCATATAATCCACAATATTCATTTCCGAGATGGCTCTTTTCAATTTCAATTGGAACTGACACAATGGCAGTGGGTTTGGTTTGGGCTTTTTAGGTCTGTGATAAAACACCTCTGGTGGTACAGTGGTTATAGTTTTCAGTAGCTAACCAAAAAGCTGGCACGTTGAATCTCCCATACACTCTGCAGAAGAATTATGTGGCAGTCTAGTTCTATAAAGATTTAAACCCTTGGAAACTGTGTGGGGGTATTTCTACTCTGTCCTGTAGGATCTCTATAAATTGGGCTGATGACAATGTGTTTGGGCGGAGGGGGGGAGTTATAGATCTGATATATCAGTTTTGAACATGCTAGCATAAAATGGATGGGCTGACCTGCAGTAGCATTAGTAAAGATCTGTTAGAATTAAATGCTTTTGACTTTTGCTTATTTTTAGGAAAATGAGTGACTTGACTTTACTATACGTGTCAGCAGGTTTCCTTATCTTGAATTAAAAGAAAGATTCAATGCTAATTTGAAATAAATCTTTATAATAACTTTTTCCCCTTTTCCTTAATTTTCCATTGTGAGATTAATGACAAAGATATGGCAGGCATTCCTATGGCTTGTCCCTTTTTGTTAAATTTCATAGTGTTATAGGATTAAATTTTCATAAAACTGTAACTCCTTTCATTTCATGTTGGTTCTTCCAAGTGTCGCTTATTCCTACAAAAGAAAAAAATTTATTTGTTGGCATTGGGAAATGTGCATATCTTTTATTACAGTGTAATATTATTGCTCAGGATCTTAAAATGAAGAATGGATATAATATACTTTACATTATGACATTTTTCTTTTTTTTTTTTAAGTTGCTGTTGTCAAATGTGGAGTCCTGGTATGGCACTGTGGGATAATGCACTGGACTGCAAAGTTGGTTTGAACCACAAGGTCTGTGGTTCAAACTTACCAGCTGCTCCTAGGAAACTCTATTCAGGGTCACTAGGAGTTGGGAATGACTTGAAGGCACTTAACAACAGGAACAACGAATTGTAAAATACTCCATGTGTATCAGAGTTTAACTATAAGCCATAGATATTTCAATGGGTAAATTTTTAGAAATAGATCTCAGGCATTTCTTCAGAGGAACCTCTGGGTGAACTCATTTATGATAATTTGTTGTTGTTGTTGTTAAGTGCCGTCGAGTCGGTTCCGACCCATAGCGACCCTGTACAGGGTTTCCAAGGGTGTAAATCTTTACGGGAGTAGAAAACCTCATCTTTCTCCCGCGGAGCGGCTGGTAGTTTCGA